CTTTAAAGCCAGGTCTACTAAATATTATTCTACATTTTGGATACATGCAAGTTAATGTATGAAGTACCTTTGATCTTCATGTGTATAAAAGTACCATACTGCAGCCCCAACAATGTTCAGGAAAATCAAAACACCAAGTAAGGCCCATGCAACAGAGCACGCTCCTGCAGGGACACAAGAATGAAGGATATAATGAGAATTACATTATCTGTCATTTATGTTTTTTGTTTCATATTTAGATGACTCAGACAATACTTAAACATATACCATACACAAATCAAACATGTAGATCGTGTAGGTCGAGGGCAGGTTAACAATGATCACTTCTGGTACTGTTGGTTAAAAATGTTCTGGCGAAAACTTTTCTAGTCTTGGGTGAAGATAAATGAAGAGAAGATGTGAAAGGTGTGTGAGAAAGCTGTCTGATACAGTTCGGGAAAAGAAATGAACTGTCTCTAATTTTTATGGTAGTTTCATTTTAATGGTAAGAGACAAAATATCAACCTGAAGTCCAGAACAAATAGCCAGAATTCTGGTTTCAACGGCCTGAACTGAAGAAACCACAGAATTGGTTCCTTCTTTTCCAACTCTGCACCATGGGAAAGACCAAAGAGCTATCAAAGGACATCATGGACAAGACTGTAGATCTGCTGTAATGGATTACAAGACTATCAGCAAGTAGCTCGGTGAGAAGGTGACAACTGCTGGTGTGAATATTTGGAAAAGGAAGAAATATAAAATGACCATCAATTGCCCTCAGCCAGGAGCATGACAGTAAGTAAGACGAGAGGTTAGCAGCAGTATGGCTTCATGCCAAGAAAGAGCACTACAGATGTTTTCTTTCAGAGTGTTGATGGAGAAGTACAGAAAAGGCCAGCAGGAGTTTCACTGGGTCTTTATGGATCTAAAGAAAGGATATGATAGGGACCCAAGAAAGAAACTTATACTGCATGAGGAAGTCAAGATTGGCAGAGAGGCATGTGAAGGTGGTGCAGAACATGTATGAGGACAGTGAGACAGTGAGATATGCGACAGAGGTGACAGATGGGTTCAGGGTGGTTGTGGGAATACAGCAGGGAACAGCTCTGAGCCCCTTTTTGTTTCCAATGGTAATGGATATTCTGACAGATGAGGTCAGACAGGAGTCTTTTCGGACTGTGATTATTGCAGATAACACTGTGATCTGTACTAAACGCAGGGGAGGAGTTGGAAGTCAACCCGAAGAGATGGAGGTATGGTCTGAAGAGAAGATATGAAAGCCAGTAGAAGCAAGAAAGAATATGTGATGTGTGTAAATGAGAAGAAGACAGGTGTAACACTGAAGCTGTAAAAACTAGCATCAAAAGCAACAGACAATGCACAAAAGAAGTGAAGAAGAGAGTGCAGGCTGTGTGGAGTGGGTGGAAAAACATATTGGGGTGATTTGTGACAGAAGGATAGCAGCAAGGGTGAAAGGTAAGGTTTACGAGATGATATTGCTATGATACTGCTATATGGTTTCCAAATAGTGGCACTGAAAAAAAACACAGGATGTTGAGCTGAAGATGCTCAGATTTTCATCAGGACTGAACAGGATAGACAGGATTAGAAATGAGTAAATCAGAGGGAAAGCTAAGGTTGAAGACAAAATTAGAGAGACTAAGATGGTTTGGGTGTGTGCAGAGGAGGGAGAGTGAATATTTTAGATGTTGAATATTTAGCTCCCAGGCAGAAGAAAAAGAGGAACACTGACGTTTCATGAATGTAATAAAAGAGGACATGGAGGTTAGCATGAAAGATGAGAATGCATAAGGCAAATTTGAAACACTAATGATCCCTAAATGGTCTGAAAAAAATAAGCAAAATTCTTGAGCCAACCCTCATTTCCTTATAGTTTATTTTTAAGGAGCCAGACTTTATTTCTTTCTTTAAAGTATTTTTTCATAGCTTCTCTAAGGAGGGCAGCCGAAAGAAGACTACATGCACCCACTACACAATCAAAATCTCTCAGACTAACACAGTCTGAGGCATAAGAAACTTATATGGCCATGAACAGAATACAGTGGAACTCCGACTTACAAAATTAATTCGTTCCAGAGGGTCTTTCGTACGTCAAAATTTTTGTAAGTCAAAGCACCTTTTTCCATCGCCTTTTGAGTGAGGCGATGCTGGCTGAAGACAAAGTTCTTGGTGGAGGAGGTGGCGGAGGTTGAAGAAAGCATACGTATGCATGCATACATACGTACGTGTACGTGTACATAACATTATGGAATTTAATTTAATTTTTTACAATTTTTTATTTTATCTATTTCGTTAAGTGGGCATTTTGCCGTACCAGGGGCAGAAATATTGCCGTTACTTGAATTTTTCATTAAATGGGGTCTTCGTAAGCCGGGGTCCACTGTATATTTAATTTAAGACATGCTTAAAGTTTTAAATTGTAGAACTGACTTGAGTAATATGTACTGCACTGAGTGGAGCATTAGTCATCCATTTACTTGTCTGTTTTATGCTGGCTCTAAGGTAAGTTTCATGTTCATAGTTTGGCCTCATAGTTTTCAGTTCATAGCTTTCACAGTTTCCTGCTTTGTAATTTAACTAGGCACTGTAAATAAAATACTGTGTTCACATTTGAGTCCACACCCACAGCCTGGCCCTCTCGGCTGTAACAAAGGCAATCATTTCTTTAAGCCATTTGCTTACAAATGATTCCTAACCTCTAATTTGGATGTGGGTGGAATGCCTACAGAAGTCCATCATTTTACTCTCATAGTAGATATTTAAGTTTCTATTTATTTCTTTTGAAAGAAGTCCACAGAACATGAAACAGAACAACATCAGAATGAAACGACATCCACAAAAGCTAACATCCCCCAAAATCAGAAACCAGTTCAAAAAGATTTGGACAAGCTGCACAGCTAAATCCAAGCTGACCTCACCTGATGCTACATGCACGTAGAGCTGACCACGTTTATTTCCATATGTGTTAGATGCTTCACACTGATAAAGGCCATTTATATCAGAGGTCAGGCTCAGCAGTTGTAGCTTTGCACCGTCTATTTTGACAGAAGACTCCAGCAAAGACTGGCCAGATCTGAAAAACATGAATGAGACCTGATCGTGAAATGTACAGAGAGGGCAGAAAAATGTGAGTTGTGCTAAGAGCTAAACATCTATGTTTTATAAATTATGGTCGAGGAGGACATTGAGTGGATGGATGCAGGTGAGACTTGGAAGTAATCTTCATGTCTCTTTGAAACTGCTTTGCATGACACGTGCTTGTTATCACCAAGCACGTGTCATGTGCTTGGTGATAACATTATTTCCTGGGGGTTGGCTGTAGCTCAGGAGGTAGAGAAGGTCATCTACTGAATGGAAGGTTGATGGCTTGATCCCTGACTCCCCCAGTCTGAGTGCCAAATATCCTTGGGCAAGATACTGACCAGATACTAACAAGTTGCATCCATTGGTGTGTAAATGTTAACTAATGAGCACTTAAAAAGTATAGAAGAAAGTGCTTATGTGAATGAGTATAAAGCGCATATAGTGCTCCAGGAGAGAAGAAAAGCACTATATAAGACTTAGTGCCTTTATTATTACCACTCCTGTGAAATGAAATATTTCAACTGAAACCAATATTCAAACTACTTTACCTGCTCCAGGTAAAGTTTGCATTTGGTTTGGCTTCTGTCACACACTCGAATGAGTCCTCTGAAATCACTCTAATGTTCACTTCTGTGGGAGAAACTGCAAAAAGAAAGAAAGAACAAGAGACCTGTGTTAATTCTTAACTGAGGAAATCTTAATAACATCAAACAACCTTTCATATATATTTGAATCAAAACAAAGAAATGCATTTTGGGTACTTTAAACTTGGTTTCAAGCAGAGATCCTTTTGTACACATTCAAGCATGTTGGTGCTCTGTTTAAAAGCATGGCCTTTATGGGGATTTCAACCAGAAATATAACACCACAGACGAACCGTGTCATTTAAAAAAAGAACCTACAATACTGGAAGAGCATGCTTTAACTTTGAAAACAGTCTCTAGTGTTTTTGCTTCACCTTCTGTCATTTCCCATGTGTGCTGAATGGATCTCAAACAAATGAAGTCATTGTTAAGCTTTACAAACAGGTTTAAGCTGGTCTGTGCACCGTGGTGTTGCCTCAACTGGAGTTAATTTTTAACCTGAACATCTGCACTCTTACCGAGAACAAAACTCATTCAAGGCAGCTGAAATATCCAAATTCTGGGTAGACATTATTCATTTTGTGCTGCTCTCAAGATTAAAATTATCAAACTGGTGTCAAAAAGGGATGCACATTATTTCACACAAGCAGTGTAGATGTGGAATATACAACTGCTAGTAAGTAAAAAAAACACAGTTGGACTTTGATTAAAGATACATAGTTTTAGTTCTACTTTTCCCCTACCAAAGTCTTGCTGGTACACACACTGATGCACAACTTTACTTTTTTAAGTTTTCTGCATTTCAGCTGAACTGGGTGGTTGTGTCTCAGGACACAGATCAGGTTCCATTACTCGTCTCATCTTTCACAAAATCTTTATCCAGCTATTGTGACAACATGAGTGAATGACAGTAGCATGAGAACAAGGATAAAGCTGGTATCCCATACTGGGAAAAACAAAAAACAACAAATTAACTCATGAACAAAGAAAAAAAAGCAAAACCATGTCAACTCTTAACACTAAAGGCTACCTAGAAGTATGGAGTTTTGAGGATTTATGTCTGCTTTTGTTCAAACCAAAGATGCAAGGTATAGTTTAAAAAAAAAAGGCAGCTATTACTTTTATTTTATCCATAATTTATGAAAATATTTCTGTTGCATGAGTAGATAATACAGATTAACTGGTAACAAGTAAGTAAGTTCTATAGTATTGCTTTGCAGTTGCAGTTTAATCAGTTAATCCTGGGTGTGCCTGTGTACTTTTAATATTTGATTAAATAATTAACGTTCTTCAGTCAACGCCAAGACAAAAGAAGACAAATAATAAACTACATGAGCAGCTGATACTCACAGTAGACCTGTATGGTGAAGGGCAGACTTTCATCTGTAGACAGGGAGTCACCACTGATGACACACTGGACCTGGTGACCGTTAATCTCTCTCGTAGGTACACCAAACAATGAGCTGACTGTAGTAGTTGTATCGTTATCATACTGTGTGGAGTTTGTTGTCGTCCTCACTTTGTCTCCCAAAGCATCAGTGAGCCACCTCACCTCTGCAGGAGGCTTCGATCCAGCAGCCGTGCAGGTAGCAAATAAAACCTCTTCAGTGCCCAAAGTGGGAAGATTGTCCTTGACGCTTGTGAAAGGAGGCACTAGGAGAGTTACAGCACACAATTAGTCAACATGCGAGCAACATGGTGAAATGTCTGTCTCACAAACAAACACCCAGAATATTTTAAATAAAGTGTTTTTTCATACCAAGCAAGTTTAGCGGTATCTCAGTCTTTTGATTTCCACTGGGAAACAACGTGAAGATGCACGTGTAGCTGCCTTCATCCTTCAGGGCAACATTGGAAAACTGGAGAGTTCCATTTTTGTCATTAAAATTCCCGATATATTTAAATCGATCATCACCTCCATTGACAAACTGCACTTCCTCTCTGGGTAAGATAGTGAGGAAATTGTCATTGTGAGGTTTTTCTCTCGTCTTCCTCTGCCAGGTAATCTGTATCAGGTCATCATTGGTACCAGTGACATAGCACGATAAGATCGCAGTACCTCCTTGTTCCACTGTCACACTTCCACCAATCACCTGGAGAGCTGTACAGAAAACATGAATAAAGCAGAGCTGAAAATAGAAACAAAAGAGAATCCAAGTACATTTATATCAAAGTGTGATGAACTCTTTTGTTTTTGCGTGTGTGTGTATGCTTCATCTTTCAAACAAATTTTGAAATTAAGCTGGGTAGACATTGAAAAATAACTATGAAAAATATTCATAACTATTTTCTGGGGTGTTAAATCTACTTAAGCTTGAAACTTATTTTGTTCATCAAATGCTCAAAATAAGAAAATACACAGATGTCTGGTAACGTAACACAGCTTATTTTCTTCAACTCCATGTAAGCCAGTTATGTGAGTAGTCATGCGCCCACCTCCACTCTTAACAGAGGAATGAAAACAATATTCTCCAGCGTCCTCACCATGCCCTTATATAGTTACATAGTTAATAATAATAATAATAATAATAAACTTTATTTATAAAGCACACTAAAAAACCAAGGGTATACCAAGGTGCTTGACAAAAAATAAAATAGGAAAAAGGAGATGGGAGGGAAAAGAGAAAGGACCTGGCACGTATCAATTATAAAACCTTGACAATCATAATATATAAAAGTATTTAACAAGCATAACGGATAAAAATGTACCAACGCACACCAAATGTTAACCAGGTGGAAAAGCAAAATTAAATAAATAAGTCTTCAGCCGTGATTTAAACAGTGACATAGAGTCAGACGCCTGGATATCAACAGGAAGATTGTTCCATAAGACTGGGGAAGCTACAGCAAACACACGGTTGCCGCGAGATTTCAGCCGAGAACGAGGTTGCTCCAGAAGAAGTTGGGTAGCAGATCTAAGTGCTCTGACAGGAGTGTGTAACCTAAGAAGCTCATTGAGGTAGCTCGGCGCCAAATTATTAATAATTTTGTAAGTGAAAAGTAGTATTTTAACTTGAATACGGTACTTAACTGGCAGCCAGTGC